GACATACCTAGCGGCAAAGCGAAATGGCTTAATGGACTCCGCTCACAATCAGCGAAAATATTCCGAAATTGGAAACTTCAAATCCGCAGAGAAATAACTGGCACTTGAATAAATGAGGCTCTGCCGATAAGATCTTAGAGATGCTAAGTGCACTTTCCAGGTTTCGATACGCAATCATGACTGGAAACCAGACATCGTCTACCTGTACCAATTTCCACGTAGCCAATATCTTCCAAATGTGTCACCGTTTTGTCTCAAAATCGAGACGTTCCTCAAGGCCAATAAAATCCCATATGAGGTGAGCAACAGGCTAGGACTATTCGGTGCTTCACAAAAATTGTCTCTATCTTACGGGACCGTATTGTAGGTACGCACGATTCTGATGGGACGATCACAATACGGTCTACTGCCATTTATCGAGCTGAACGGCGAACACATCGCTGACTCGCAGATCATAATGGAACGCCTTAAAGAGCACTTCAAAGTCAAGGTAATAACTTAGATTTCTACTGTAATAGCGTTCACATTATTTACTAATTGATACTGTCAGCTTCCGAGTAAATTTTGCACCGCTTCAGTTATAACCACGTACAGCTGCTAACCATGAGCATTGCTTCCTATCGAAAACCCATAGGCACCGATCATAGCTCGCGACTTACCAGGAAATGCTTTGAACTTCCCATGGAACTTTGGAAGGAGACCTAGATATATCGATAGAGTCTTGAACGCTGATTACAAATATGGACACTAAAACTGCTACGTGAACTTCCTAAGAAAGTTATGAGCCTTCAAAGTTGGCAAAAACGTTACTGAGGCGAGCTTACCTGGTGGAATCACAGTCGCCGTGGCTCTGCGCCAAAAACGAGTCTCATATTCGTAATCAGGGCACCCATTTACCCTTATAGAACAAGTTCCAGGCAAAAAGCAACCGTGTTTCCACATAGGTTGCACCTCATCATTAGCGTTCTTTTGCAACTTTAAGGCTCACAACTTTCTTACAAAGTTCACGTAGCAGTTTTAGTGTCCATATTTGTAATCAGCGTCCAAGACTCTATCGATGTACCTAGGTCTCCTTTCAAAGTTCCATGGGAAGTTCAAAACATTCCCTGGTTAGGCCTAAATTGGGCGATAGCGATTAGGCGTACACGATGAGAAGAATGTTGATGTATCGATCACAAGAACCGTTTAATTGCCTAATAGCCTGATCGCCTAATCGTCCCGATATCGTTGAGGGCAGAGCAAATTGATTCACATCCATGCCTCGCTGGAATCGTCCAATCGTCTTTTTGTCGAATCTCCTGAGTCGAGAGCGAGTCGGTTTTCCATTACAATGGACGAGGTGTTGGATTATTTTGACTACCCGACAGGAGGCCCGTCGCGCGGCGAGAAGGCAGAGACGCAGACGTCAGCAGACGAGTCGCAGCGCGTACTGTAGTAGTTTTACGTCAAGTATTAAATAGAACTACCACCGCACGTCTACACGCTCATCACACTGGCCTTCTTGCCGCGCCACGGTCCTTCGGAACCCGATATTTCTCTTTGAAACTCCAACAGTGACTGAACACACACAATGAAAATCTAACCGCTATGAAGATGTCCAAAAATTATTCGAATCATCTTATTAACAAACAATTCCGAATTCTTCAAAGTGAAAAAGAACTTTAGGCCATGCTGTTACCGAGGAACGAGCATTGCGAGAACCATCGACAGGATGGCCGATAACCATACGTTTTTGTGAGTGCTCCACAAATTTCGATTCAATATTTCCGTCATTTCCTTTCAATGTGGTGCATTTGGCTGAAGGCGGCGTATGACATTGATTGAAGGTCTACCCTCGATCCATCGAGCTGGAACCGTTCATCCGAATAAATTGACTGTGATAGAAAACAAGATGTGTGCAAATATAAAAGAAGGTCAAGGAGGCCATCCGTGCGCTGCTGAGTGCTGAGGTTTCGAAACTTTTATGACCCTCTTTCTTTCAGGGGGTCCCGATACACTCCCCCTCAACCTAAGCGTGCCCAATACCTTTTCCCCGTCCCCGACCACCATCCTCACCGTTGTCGCTGTTTTTATTGGATTTGACCATAAGCTCAGTCGACCCAGCTCCGCCAACATTGACCATCTCCTACCCAAAACACGACCCCCACCCTCCAAAAATTCAAATATGACCCTACCCCGTCGTTTGGAACTGCGCACGCACAGTTGACCCTGGTTTCAGGAACTGTAATATTCCGCTAAATAACCTCAATCAAGTTGGTATTAGCAAAATGTCACAAGCTGGTAGACAAACCAAAATCAACAAAACAAAAGTATGAGCCATGTACGCAGCTTGCGCACAAAATCGCACATCTGTTTGAAAGGTGAACCCGTCATTATCACGTGAGACCGATGATGCTCAGGACAGCACACTCTCCAGTGACGCGCCATTCATTTGGAACGAAAACTCAACAGTTCTAAGAATTCAAACCAAAATTTATGCACGCTAGCCGTCGCCTACAGTCACTGTACATATATAATACTTCAGTCTCGCTGAATGTTAAATATTTAGCGTGCAGTACCAATTCAAAGTGCTGGAAGAGAAGAACGACTTCTTCTCGACCACTCTGCGTGAAATTGGGGCACCTAAGCTGCTTTTACCAGTGATTACATATCTGTTCAGAAGAAAGGTGAGATTTCAAATCTACTGCTTTCTATGAACGATTCAACCGCTAAAACCGTTGGCCTAGTTGTCTTTTATTTACAGTTGAATGTTTGCAAATAGCACATCTTAGCGATCAATAACAAGCCAAAATAACAACAACATGTCCAAAACTAAGTGAGGAGAGAAAAAAGAAGCGATTCAGGCAGCAAATCGTGTTGCGGCAAGTCTTGGCCACTTCTCCACGGAAGATTTCAAGATGTTCCTGAAGAAAGACTATGACGCCTATCGAGATCTACTTGGTGATCAAAAGTTCCTTTTCGGTGACGAGATAAGCCCGGTGAGCAAATTTCCATCGCTTTCCTTTCAACTAATTGACTTCCGCGACATTCAAGCCCACAAATGTAAAAATAATCATTCAAGAATTCAGTATGTTCCTAAAAAGGAAAAGTTGTTCGATTCCAGGCGTTTCTAAAAGGGGAATGTTGTATTTACCAAAAGTGTTATGTTGTTAACC